ACACACACACACACACACACACACACACACACACACACACACACACACACACACACACACACACACACACACAGGAAAGACAGATCAGGAGGGATTGGGAGGAGACAAACATAACCAGATGTCAGTCACAGTGAGACGAGGAGCACGGGGCAGGCAGGCAGGATAGGCTTCAGCACAGCCATTTCTCTACTAAATCGCTGTTGCTCAAGCAGGGGAAGCAAAGGCTCATAGGCTTATTGTACCCAGACAAGGCAGACACTGCGAGTTTGGTGTAGAGCGCGCTAGGGAGCTCATTTCAGGGTCGGTGTCATACCCGAGTTGTCCATCATACTGGTCCCGACCTACAGGAGAGTGTGTGTGTGTGTGTGTGTGTGTGTGCGTGTGTGAGAACGTGTTGTAGGGGGAAGGGAGGTGTATCAGTGGGGGGTGAAAAACTGTAGCAACAAATTCAGAAGACATCTGAGTTTGTGTAAAACTCTTAGGGGATTTAGTAAGATTAATAATAGTGTTCATCAACATTGATTATTTTTTGTTGTGTATTATTAAATAGTATGTGAAATTGTCACGGGGGGGGGGGGGGTTATATTCCCACTGGTCTTCAGTCAACATGGCTGAACAGCCAGCGATCCAACCTAAACAGGCAGCTCTGGGTTGCTGGATTGGGGTGGATGACTGTGTGCAGTCTGGCGGGGAAGGGGCATGCAGGAGGGTGGGGTGAGGCTGCTTACTTGAGCTCGGGGGGTACAGAGGAGGACCCCCGTTAATGTGCGGCTGCTGCTGCTGCGGGGGGAACTGGGCAGAGACAGACGGCGCCCGTCTGTATGTCCCTGTCGCCGACACGTTGGAGACAGATGAGGCGGCCGAACCGTGCCGGGAGATATGTCGGGACACGGTGCCAAACTGTGACACAGGGGCGGGGCCAAGGCCGGGGCCCATAGCAGCAGCTGCAGGAACCAGGGGAGGAGCCGGGGGAGGGGCCACGGGAGGAGCGGAGAGAGAGAGAGAGCAGCAAGGAGGGGACAATTAGCCAACCCATGCCACCGAGAGGACCTACTGATCCAGCAGCAAAGAGGGGGAGAGCCAGCTTACCACCCAACAGGTGACAGGACTGCTGAGGAGGTGTGGAAAGTACAAAAAACAGCAACATTCAAGCACTTTCCAGGCTGCAACATCAACCCCCAACATCCCCACCACCAGCTGAGGCGGTACCATTAGAGCGGGCAGCCGGCTGCAGGCGAGCACACCAACAGCGGGCAGCCGGCTGCAGGCAGACACACCAACAGCGGGCAGCCGGCTGCAGGCAGGCACACCAACAGCGGGAAGCTGCATCTTGGCAGCTGCGCAAGGCCCTGCAATGGCGAAAAGGTCAACTGCTCTGCAGCAAGGTGGAAAAGCACGGGGGGGTGGGGGTCGGAGGGGGGGTGTGCAGGACGGTCATGAGGAGGTATGGTGGCGGAGACACCCGGCCTGGAGGGTGACGGAGGACCTGCCTGGATTTGCGAGCTGATCTTTAAGACGCAACACCAAAAAAAGCCCCCCCCCCCCCCCCCC